CCCTGGAACAAAACATGTTCCTGTGGGTGGATTTTATAATTAACTTTATTTTTGAAGAATACGCTAAACTTCCAACAGCGTCTACTGCCATGATAGCGGCTTTTTGAGGCTCTACTTAGTTAGGGCTAAATGCTACATACTGATCACTGCTAACATGCTGATGATTATCATGTATGTTTAGTATGTTCACCATCCTAGTAAAGCAGGTCAGCATGCTAACATACAGCTGAGATTGATAATTGCCAGACTGCAAAACCACAGGATTACGTTCAGTGACAAGCTTTCTACAACATTTGCACATGGCAACCGCACTGATTCGGGTTAGAAAAATATTGCAAATAAACTCAGGTCAAGTTATTTTGAGGGTTTGAGGGCAACAAAACAGCTGGTTAAACATGGAGAAGATCATGGCTGCAATTAATTCTAGCTAAAGTAGACAGACACGTCTGCTTACAGGTGTTATATTAAAGCACATGTGAAAAAAGTTGTATAAGCCATTTGTGGCTCCAGAGGGATAAATAATAAATGTCCTGAAGTGATGTCACTTCATACCAGCAGCTCGAGGCTACATTGGCTGCTATGAGAATAAGAAACACAAGTCTAAGACCGAACTGTCAGTGGTTGAGATGCATTGTGGGAAATGTAGGAACCAGATTTTGATAAGGAAATGGATATTGTGCATTTAAATTATGTGATGTGAATTTCTGTGTTTTGTCTATGCTTATACTGTATATGTTAAAGCTGCAATACGTTTATAGAACTAGTGAATAGAACTAAAAAATGTTTGCTGGAACTTTCACTATATCTGCCTGAACAGAAACAACCAATCAGAGCTGAGAAAGATATAAAGACACTCTGGATTGGAGGCTTGAAGACAATTCATTGTTGAATCTCATTCAGTGTCTGTATTTTATGACCTGGAAATGAGACTCAATAATCAACTATTTTTCTCAGCTCTGACTGGTTGTTTTCATTCAGGCCCGGTGGATTCTTGCAAATACCATTAGGAGCACTAGAACCTGATCACAGGGTCTGTCAGGATATAGTGAAAGTTTCAGCAAATATGACCCAGCACAGCTTTAATTAGGGATCTTATCTTGTTACTGCTGTTTCAGTAGTAGACAGTAGATGTTTTTAATAGCCGATCTGTATTTAAGTCCTTTCAGCTCCCTCTCTGTAAACACATGGACCTCTTCACCTTCTGCCTGGATGAGGAGAGGAGATCCAAACAGCATCAGTCGGCTGAAACAGCTAAATGTGGAACCACAGAGACAGAAGCATCCACCACTGACAAAATGACTGTAATCTGAAAGAGAAAAATGAATCAAACTGCTATTTCTGCTGGACTCTGCCCATTGTCTCTTCCTGTGTGTGTGGGAGTATGTGAATGAAATAACAATACAGGGACAGATTTCTCTGTGACCATTGTATAACTGTAACTAAGTGACTGATACTGGAGCGCCTCTAATGAATCTCAGTTATGAAAGGACGGCCTTTGCACAGCAATTCAAAGAAATGTTATCAGTGGAGTCTCACACGTCCAATGACGAGTTGATTTTGTGTTATTTCATGGCAGATTTTTGGACAGACGTGTTGATAGTTTGCTCTCAAAACAAGTGAACAGCAGTAATTAGCAGTACTACAGTACCACGCTGTGTTTCATCCGGCTGAACCCAAGCCTCTATTATCACTGGCAGCTTAACAAGTGTTCACACCACACACCCCTATTCAATCAGTTACCATTCATTTATTAATCTCTGCCAGACCGCAGATAGTGGAGTCTGCTTCAAGTCTTTCTGTGATAATGTACAGTGTGTCAGCATGTCCATTGTGGCTCCATGGTTGCAGCTGGTTCTTATGTAAATCATAAAGCTAACCTGTAGTGTGTATCCGCACCGTTACTCTCTGGACGGCAGCTCTTTTTCAGATGAAGGATGCTGAAAGTAACAGAGCATGAAGGAAGTGTGTTCAGGCTAATATGTAGCTGTGCTGCCTCTGGTACAAGCCATACATCATCACAACCACAGTCTGTAGTCCTGTGGTGCTGTATATTCATTTCAAAATATTACTTAAACAGCTTGTTGCATTTTCACCTTTACAAGCTCAAACTGTGTCTCTGACAGTCTGCTATTAGTCGCTGCACTGGATAATTATTTTAAGGTTTAGAGGGATTCTCACTACTGTGCTGTGAGCGATGGCCTGACGCAGAGTCTCTCAAAATAATGTTCTTCCACTGAAAAAACATTTCCCCAGAAAACTCTGTACTGTACTTCATGTTCAGGATGTATGAAGCTTCTGCTGAAAAAAAGAATGTGATCCTAACTTTCACACTACATAAATTCAAAAGTAAATGTAGAGGGGCAGAATTGTTTTTTTTTTTTTACTGGAAAGTGCTTTTTTTCACACCACATTGTTACTCTCTGGAACTAAAGGTAGGTTACTACGGTCAGTTAAGGCAGTTAGCACGTTTTGGTAGCATGATGAATATAATTGCACATTTGAATGTACAAATTGTACAAAAAGGGAGTTAAATGATTCTGAACTAAACTGATCAAATATTAAATTTCTGTTTTTACTAACAGTTCTGTTTTTACTAAGTAAAGCAAAATTTTACATTATCATGCAGAAGTACAAAAGCAGTAAAGTCAGTAAAATACCGTTTTAACTACAACTCTTGAACATGAACATACAGCAACATGATATAAAACAATATATATATATAATAACATACATTAATTATAATAAATTATAGTAAATCATTGTGATGGTTTTGTTGGGTAAAAATTATTTATTGAACATTCAATGCTAAAAATGACGTTTGGGGTGTATTATTAAATATTAATGGATTATCATAAAGAAGAAGAAGAGTGCAGTAGTCCCTTTTTAGCAGAATATTAGCAGAACCGAACACAGTCCTCATAAACCAGCCTGAATGACGCTTGTACAACAGAGTGACTGCCAGAGGTAACATTTTCATTTTGCATGATTGTAGTAGTTTTAGAGACTCTGCTGCATGGATAATGGCATCTAAAATGTTTAGTGTTCTTTTGCGAATGAGTCATGCAACATTCAGACTTTTGCATCAGTCTGTAATGGAGGCACATTAACGAGGAGAAAGTTTAGTTTCTGAGCAACTTGTGAAAATACCTAGTACTAATAAGTCTGTTTAGCTTTCCATCTATGTTACATTATCTTCTGTTTCTCTTCTCTTTATAAAACACTGAATCAAGTGCTCTCATTCTTTAAAATGGTTTAAAGGAAATAATCTACAGACACCCTTGAACTCTGTGGGCACCTTGGCCGGTCCTTGGACGCTCACAGCCAGTTGTAGAACAAGAAAAGGCACTAATAATGATTTCATACAACGTTCACATTGGGATGACTTGGATTTGTGTCTCAGAGTTCTACCGAGAGCAACACTGACTCAGTGATTACATCACTGCCTTTAGCCAACTCAAGGACGCCCAAAATCAATGCTCTTGATGTAAATGCACAGTGGGAATTCACTTTAAAGCTAATAACATTAAGTTCAGAGCTCTGCGATGTGGGCCCACATTGTAATGTTATGTAAATCTGACCATATGACAGCTTCATTTAAACCAGAGTGCGCGAGATTATGCATGATAGTGGCCCATTTTGCTCCCTCGTGCTCATCTCAGCTTCCCGGTAAATAATTCAGGCCATAATTCTGCGTATTAGAAGAAGACATTCAAAAATGCCGAAGCAGGCCCCCGGAGACTCAACGCTGGAATTTTATGCAGAGGAAGAAATTGGAGGGTACATCATGTTGGCTGGAGGGCCCATCACTCATCAATTTGTTTGTAAACACCAGATTTATGTGCAGTAAAGCAAGTCCTCGGCTAAACTGCTGGAGGGCCTCTCTCTCTCTCTCTCTTTCTTTCTCTCACGTATGCACACGCACACGCACACACACACATACACACTCAGAATCGCCTCCAGCATATTTAGGAAAAAATTACTAGGAAATCTCCATGTTGATGCCATTTGGAAATCTTCAGTTTACTTGCAGAGGACTGAGGGGCTGAATACACGCTCTCCGACTCATGGCTGACATCAGAGGCTGGAGAGCAGTAAGCCGATGATGTAACCACTGTATTTACTGTAAGCATCAGGTCGGCTGTGGATAAATATTTCTGTTTGATTTCAAACTCTAATATGCATCACTTCTCTTTGACCAGAACACCCCCCACCCCCATCGTTCTGTTTCTGACATTTCAAATAACACTGGCTTTCTAGTTGGGTCCATAGAGATCACTTTGCCCGCTCTTACGTTTCTGATTGCTGCTTCAATTTAGCAATCTGCAGAAAGGAAATGAAATGCTCGGTGACTTACTGCTGATATGCAGCACACAAGTAAAGATGACAAATGGAAAGGATTAAATCAAGCGGGTCTTGAAAAATACTTTCAGGAGGTCTTTAAATTATTCTAACAACTCCATCAAGCCGATCCCAGCAGTAAGCATACTTCATAGCTGAGTGCATTTGCTGATCGTGGCCACAAAAAGAAGAAAAAAAGAGAGGAGAGTGCACACTGTATCTCTGTGTAATTAAACCGTTGTCCCAGATGAACACTCAAAAGACTATAGCAAGTGTAGGATTTCTATTAAGCAGGTGATTCCAATTGGTCTAAAGAGTGGTTGGGGACTCGCAGCGTGAGACAGGAGGAAATGAATCGGAGCTGTGTAAGCATGGGGCATTTGCTGCCACTGAAGGGCTTTTAAATTACTCTTGAAGAGAGCAAAGTAGCAGTGGGTGATACCGGTGTGCCGCTCAGGAGGTCACCGGGAGGTTTCAGGGGAGCATGAGGAGCAGATGGAGAGAAGGAGCTCATTACCTGGGCAGTCCCACGGACCTGAAGCCAGAGGGCAAGTGCTAACCAGCGGCAGGCAGGGCAGGACTGACAGGGGCAAAGGAGGAGATTTTGATATTTGTTTCATAGAATTTAACAAAATACTACAAAGACAGACACAGAGACTCGATGCTATTGCAAAGCTTTTATTGAAGAAAGGAAAGACAGCTGACTACATGCCCCTTCCAAAGATCAAGAACAGATCAGACGCTTTAGTTTAACAACAGAGGGTCAAGCTCTTTAAGGCGAGTTTCACACTCAACAACATTCAGACTCTGCGGCTGCAGCCTGAAGCACCGTGCAGGATGGAAACATCCACTGTATGGATTCAGAGGAGTTGGCCCAAACGAAGGGATCTTCTTTATTTACTTTGGTAAAGACAAGTAAACATGGCTAAATCTTTGAGTGAGGCACCGTGCACTATGAAATACACAGCAACAGTATAGTGACTCAATACTGCTCAGTCAAAGGCACTTTAACACACATGGGTAGAACAAAGACAGTAGACAACACAAATACACTGAACAAATAAAAAAATCATTAAACGGTCTTGTCTTTATACTCGTAGCATCAATCTTCTTGTCAGATATGCTCCCATGAAAATGTGTGATGGTTACACAGACTGTTCATACAAATACCCTAAACAGGAGAGTTTAATACAGCTTTAATGGCACACTGACAACCTACAGCAGAGGCTTAACTCTGTGGACCAGACCAGGGTACTTTGTAGAAAACTTGCTAATAAGCCAGTAATAAAATATTTTGCAACATTTAATTTCAAAATGTTAAAACCATAAAAAGACATGAATCAGTATCAGAATAATGTTAACTGAGCAGTTTGCTACTTAATGAAAGCACAAAAAGACTCATTATCACCTTGTAAAGTTGATATGGGGAATGTGTTAGCACATGCCGCACGCAAAGTAAGCATTAACATTCATCTGGAGTGCAATATTAATTCTCCTTTTTGCTCTGGTTTGGTTTCCACCAGCTCCTGAGGGAAATATCTGTGTCTTTAGCTGCTAAATGCTCCTCTATGTTCAACTGTCTGTCTGCTGCGTGCTGCTGAGCAGGTAGCGTACAGTGGGAGCTGTGAGACTGAACCAAAACAGTAAAGCTATGGACTGTAAAACAAAGAGCTGAAGGATGCTAAAATGCTCTGTAGGGCTGAGGGGAACTGCATTTGAGCCATTGTTAATACAAAAATTGATTTGTGCAGATTTTAATTATTGGTAAAAGTTACATTGGTTGAAGTTATAACGCAGCACTGCATAAAATTCTCTTTACTAAACTGTGACAACAGCTCTTACTCTGGTGTATAACACTACTGCATCCTCTCAAACATACACAAGGTCTGAACATGTGCTTTAAACAACAGTTCTAATTGATGGCTGCATTATATGCTGCATAAAATAAATGAATGTTTGATTGCGAACTGGTACATTCACTAAACATCATACAGAATTCCTGATTTGGGCAGTCACCAGTTGCTGTGGAAAGCACACTTTCTGCATGTAATGTTGTGAACTACATTCTTACGTATTTGTTTGTAGCTCATAATTACTGCATGCTTCCTCGCATTGTCACTAATTAAGTTAAACACAGCGCTAGAAGGATTCAACTGTGCGATGGTCATGCCTGAAAGCACAGCAAATGTTGCTACACTATTGCAATGGCATGTTTTCCTGTAGAGTAAGAACCAGAGGCCGGTCTGAATAATGGATCATTTTGGCTTCAGAAAACTTGAAGACAACTGAAGAAAACCAAAGCACAAAGGTCCACTCACTAACTCACTAACACTTACTAAGCTAGTATTGTTTTAGAGGCAATTGGCTATGAAAAGTACCTGAGTTAGAATTTTAAATGAGCACTGTGATACTGTTCTTCGACAGGAGGATTTTCAGTTTCTGCCTGTTAAGCCACTTTGAAATCTTCATTTGTGTTTTCATCCCCAGATGTGTGATACTGCTGTCTAATTATCCAGGCAGGTCAGGAAGCCCCGAATCGACCTTTAACAGACAGTGATCATGCAATGCAACATATCTGTTAGCCGAAACCTGGCAACATGTGTGTCATCATGATATATAGTCTGTATTTTTTGTCCTCTGTTGCCTAACAACCGGGGGTAATCAGATGACTCACTTAGGAAAGTGTCAAATGGTCAAAGCCCCAGCTCTAAGTATGGTCGTAATGTAGCTGGTGTGATTTATTGTATGCATTTGTTTACAGCAGCAGAGATAAAATGAGGACAATAAATGTCTTCTGTAACTAGAGACAGACACTGATTTGAATGTTTCTTCTCCCGCAGCTCGATGTAATGTTTATAATCTATTTTGAATAATTCATAAAAGATGCTTGAGATTACTGTCAATTGTATCTCTAATTATATCTTAATTTTAGCATATTTATTAAGACATTTTTCTCTTTTTTTCCCCTCCAGGAATGCACTCATCGGTTATGATTTTTATTCAACTGTAAAAGTCTTGTTCTCTTTTGGTTTTTGTAACTGTCTTAATGGAAAAATTCCTGTGGAAATCGAGTTTAGGTTGCCTAACCTTGTAGAGGACCAGTGGTACTGAGCAGTCACTGTGCTTCTGGGCAATGTGAAATACTAGATTTGAAATGGTCTACAATTTGCTCTACTTTTATGTAGGAAATGTGTCCCAGCCACGGTCTGATGAAAGTCAAATGACTACTCACTGTCAGTTTATTAATGGGCTTATTAGCAGAGTTATTTACAATGTGGTACCCTGGTTGAGCACTGCCACAGTCAGCTGGATCACTCTGATGTAACCAGACATACTGATTACAGTAGATACAGTATATAGAGAGGTTTTGTTTGTATAATCACTTTCTGATATCCAAATGGCACTAAATACCACTTCTTAATGTGTGAGGAAAACAGCACAGAGAAGTACAGAGAATTCTCTAACAATTAGAATTAACTGCTTTGTTCATAATATATCCATCCACATGCACAACACATCTGTAATCAGGGCTTGGGAAATACTTTACATAATGTGGACGACTGTAAACCAATCCAGCTAATAAATAGGCAAACCAGTTCGAAACTTTAAAGGTATCCTGTGGAGTTTGCTTGTAAACAAATTCAATTTATGTTTACATTCAGTGTTTCAAGTTTGTTAAATTCATTTCCTTTATTGTTAAACATTTGTTTGCAAAGCCGATTGTTTGTACCTAAAATGGTGCGTTGTTTATATCCATCCAGCCAATCAGATCCCAGGGAAGGGCTGTGCCTTAGGTGACCCCAATGGCCCCGTCTCTGCATACTGGTCCATATGGATGCAAGGTCCAAACAAAACAGGGACTAATAGCATTGCTCCACCACGCCGCTAGTGGTTAAAAACTCCACAGGTACCTTGAACTCACCACCATCAAAAGTCTTACAACTCATGTTGCTCTATAATTATATTGAAGTTACTATCAAATCAAACTACTGGTCAATGACTCTTGGATGGAACAAATAATGAAATTAGTCATCTTGGGGAAACTCTCGTGGTCCCTTCTTTGCCCATCAACTTGAAACAAACACTAAATATAAAAGACAAGTGTCAATGGTACAATCAATACTGACAAACAGCACAGTGACGCACAAAGTCACAAAGTACCAACAGCATAGTTTTGATTAAAGGATTACTATAAGGACACTTATGCTTGAATCTGTACAGGTAAAATATTTCCTTATTCATAAAATTTCTTATAAAGTGTCGATGCAATTAACATTAAAAATTGCATAGCCATCTCAAATCCGTTATCTCTACCAGACTGCTTACACTACAATCACTAATCTAATCTATGTAATGGTAAATGAGAGAAAAAGTTACATATCTATCTGCCCAAAAACTATATAATTAAACTCAAATATAAGGCCGTATCTATATGAATGAAATGCCATGATTGTACTGTTCAGGCCAACAGGAAATAATCCTATACATGAAAGCAAATTCAATCGGAAAGTACAAAGAAAATATCATGTTCAAAAGGGAATTGCATTCAACAGCTGCCTATTGAGGATTCTGTGTTTGTCATTTTGTGATTCCTGTGGTCCCAATCAATATAATGTAATATTTGATGTAGCTGCATACGGTACAGTAAATATGGCAGTTTAAATTCAATTCTTTGGTGTTCAGTTATCCAGAACTGTTTTGCAACAATGAGCTTCAGTGTGTAACTGTATCCCTATTTGTGTACCGTCTGTGGATGTGCACTGCAATAAACACTAAAGGATAAAATCAATGTTGTAACCAACATACTGTACACTCATGCTTTTTCTAAATACTGCTAAAGCTACAGACATACACACATCCATCCATGAGGTCTTCACCTGTAGGGCAAATGTGTCAAACATTTTGCATGTTTTGGTGGAGTCAGACTCCATTTAAGATCCCAAGAACCGGTCAGCGAGAAATATCTGGGCTTGCATGCATACGAGCATGCATGTGCACCCTGGCTACAGCGTGCTGGTGTAAGATTATTATAATATAAGATAATAACACTGAGTGTATATTTATATTGTAACTGTTAACTAGTGGATTGGGAGTGATAGTTTGACATCTAGGGAAATATGCTTATTTTCTTTTTTGTTGAGATTGATTGCCACTTTTATATCTGTACAGTCAAGGCTACCTCTGAAGCTTAGCTTAGCATAAAGTATGGAAACAGGGGCAAACAACTAGCCTGACTCTGTCCAAAGGTAAGATACAACATGTGAATTCAAATGAGCCTTTTATATCTACGGAAGGTGCAGGAGTCTGCTGTGTTGAACCGCCATGTTTCTACGGTAGCCCAGAATGGCCAAACCAAACACTGGCTCTAGATAGGGCATTTTTCACAGCCACTGTAGTTACTCCTACACGCATGGGACAGGAGGGTGAAGCGAGGGTGGTGCAATCAGAAGCTACATTGCCAGACGCCACTAAGTCCTACACACTGGTCCTTTAAGGGTACAGTTAAGTTTAAGGCTATCCGTTTCCAGTTATTATGCTAATTATTATGCTAAGCTAAGCTATCCACCTGCTGACTGCAGCCTCACATTTAACATACAGACAAGAAAAAGGCATCAATCTTTTTATATTTCCCTACTATTGCTTAACAAGAACACAGTTAAAAAGACACAGCCTCTTCTGCTGTGACTGTACCGAGTAAAACATGTATGCAGGTGAACATGTGAGGCTATTTCTTGTTACTGATAGTGAATATATATAGAGGGATATAAATGTATATGCTGTGGAATGCAAGCTTCTGTGGATCGGTATGTTTGCGTGCGAGAGAGAGAGAGAGAGAGAGAGAGAGAGAGAGAGAGAGAGAGAGAGAGAGAGAGAGAGAGCGCTGGGTTATCACAGTGGAGGTGACCGGGCGGTGGGTTGCTCAGAGGTCAGTTGTGGCCTTGGCGGTGAGGGCCTGGATGCGACTGGTGTTACAGTTTTTGCAGAGGACGTGTCCGTCCAGAGGGTAGCAGCCCTGGTTATCCCCCTCTGAGAGCAGAGAGCCACAGTCCTGCAGGACACAGATACTCTGTTAGTCCACACAACACAAACAGAGTCATTAGCCACGCTCACCGATCAGGCACATTCATACGCTCACTGTGCTCACACCCTAAACGAGACATTTACTGCTGTTTAAAGACTCAGCCAGTGTCAGGCTACAGGAGGCTCTCTGCAGAAAAGCCTGGTAGCAGCTGGTGAGTCTGGAGGGGCAACAGGTTATTACAGGGTAACAGTCAGACAAAAGATCTCCTTGTCTTCACTTTGTGGCACCTAAGAGTTTGAAGTTTTTAAACATTGTCTTTAGAGGTCTTTACAGTTGGGTCATACAGTTACTTTAAGTGCGATTTTAAAATGACACTCCTTTTACAGATCTTAAGATGAATATATTTCATCTGGTCTCTTCCAGGAGTGGATATGTTGATGCATATTTGTCTTTCTTTCTCTTGTTTTTGTTTCATCGGTACATTTTGGCCTATTGCTGTTAGGAAGTTGTGTTTGCTAGTTCAATCTTTTTGCACTAATAAAATATTATTATTATTCTCTATCCATGCGAGGGGGGTGACTATGTATGGCAATATTGTGTCGGTTGGGCTACCACTTTGGTCCAGAAAGAACAACTGTTGGATGAACTACAATGAAATTACAGAAATTTGTGGTCCCAAGATGATGAATCCTCATGACTTTGGTTATCTTTGAACTGTCATCAAGCGCCACCAGCAGGTTCACATTCGTGGTTTTGAGTGAAATGTGTCAACAACTGTTGAATGGATTGTTTTGATATTTGGTAAATGCATTCACACCTCCGTCAGGATGAACTGAACTTTTATGATGATGGATGAACTTCATGATGAGGTCAAAATCTTTGGTCCAGTACTTTATGATTGCATACCTTCAAAACCAATTACATTCCCATCAGCCTCAGCTGTACTACTGTGTTTATAAAGCCGATCAAAATCGGATCCTTTTTTTACTGAACTGTGCTTTGGACTTGGATCAGGGGCAAAAAAATGTAACAAAATAACCGCTAAACATCAGCATGTTAGTATCGTCACTGTGAGCATGTTAGCATGCTGATGTTAGTCAAAGCACAGCCTCATAGAGCCACAAGTTCTTCCATTTATTCTTGCCATCTATACACACACAGTATGTGTGTCTGGGAGTCGATTGACTTTTATGCAGATTACAAATACTGATTATTGTGTTTGTGTCTATATATTGTGTATTTCCTCCTCTGCTGTGACTACTTAATAATGTTTGAGGAATACGTTTTTTAAATTGAAATGTTGATCTATTAAAGTACAGTGTCTGACTGCAGCCTTCAGTTTGTTTTCTGATCTAGCAGCTGTAACACAGCGCTCTACACTCTTTTTAAAAGGGTAATAACAAACCATAAGGACAATTTCACACACACAAATACAGATACATGCATCACTTTAGCATTATTTTCTCATTGTCAGGGACGCTTGGTTACACTCTCAACCCCCCCTCTCTCTCTCACACACACACTCTGGGAAATACAACTCTGTCTACTCATGTCTCCCTAGTGACAAAATTCTTCTCTTGTTGAGCCCCTTCAGCTGAACTAATCTGCTTTGCTTTCCTTTGACCTTTATGTCTGCCAAACGCTCTGTGTACTCACACTGGCACGGCTCTTTGACAATGTGACACGTTACTTCTCTTTTAGCCGGGCACGTAATGTCTCAGCGCTGCTTATCAGCCAGCGAGCGGCGGCTGACAGATTGGTTACTATGTAAGTCCATGAACTTTGCAGTGGAGAGATGGAAAGCTATTTTGAGGCAGGTAAGAGAGGGATGATTCAGTTGTCTCGCTGAAAAGGTTACTTGGGGGACTCAGGGCTTGTACGTTATGCCTTATACCTTCATGCTGTAATGAGCCGTGCGAAATGGTACACATAACCACCACTGCTTATTATGGGGAGCTCACATACAGAAGAGAAACACACAGAGAACATACCTCACAACGGTAACACTGCACGTGGAAGTCACGGTCCAGGGCCACAATACGGACGGTCTCCTCCTGGCCCGGCGCTGGCATTATAGGCTCAGAGCACACACAGCAGCGAGGAGCAAACTTCCTGTGAAAGAGAACCAAGAATAACAGAAATTAGCACACAACAGCAGGAAATATTGTGATCTATCCTCATTCATTATTTTGCATGGTGATGCTCTTTAAGCCTGTAAATACAGTAGGGCTGCAGCTAACAATGATTTTCATTACAGATTAAACTGGCTGTTACATCCTTAATTAACGATTAATCGTTGAAAAAAATAATAATTGTAAAATATTCCCACCAGAGCTCAAGATGACATGTTCAAATTGCTTGTCTGGCCAACAGTGCAAAACCCAAAGGTATTATATTTACAACAATAGACCAGAGAGAAAAAAAAAAATCAAGAAGCTGGAATAACAGAAGGTGTGTCATTTCTGCTTAATAAATGACCTAAATGATTAATCATTTGCCAAAATTGTTTCAACATAATTTTCTGTCAGTTGACTAGTCCACCGTTTCCTATCCTTTTTGCCTTGTGAGACACAACTTGTGAGTTGTGAGTATACTGTACGTCTACTGGTTGTGAGCAATAAATAATTTTTGGTCTAAAAAGGTAGAATTATCTAGTAATTGACCAGAAAAAACAAAAAATAAAAATACATTTGCAGAAATTATTTCTTTCTAGTTTCCTCTTTTGTTAATCACCTCATGACCCCTTGTGGGGGTCCTAACCCCAAGTTTGGGAACTACTGCACAAATCAATCTATGAACTAATCTTAAGAGAGAAAACAATAGGATATATTTATATATTATTGTACATGTGAGACAATTATTTAAACAAAGAAAAAGGCACAGATTGTACATTTATTCACTCAACCACTGAGGTGGCACTAAAAGCTAAATTTGCCCCTTTTTGAAATATGTTATATAAATAGAATATTTGAGGAAAAGCTAAACATAGTCAGACTTTTACAAATATCATGTGACTCTCCCAGTAACCTTTACAAGCCTTCAAATCAGTAACTGTGGAAATGCCTTTAGCAGAAGGAGGTCTATCTAACAATAGGATCAATGAGGATATGAAAAGCACCCTGAGATTTCAGGTCCTGTCAGGTGACTGAAGGCCATCTATCTCACATGCCGACTGAAGGCCTGGGAATCAGGAAGTGACAGGAGTGTGTGGCTTTGGGGAACCCCGGCCACACGGTGTTAGCCAGAGAAACAGCTCAGGCCCGGGCGTGACTATTCCTCGACACAAAGGGCTGCACTGTTGAGGTCACACTTGTCATGTGGAATTAAACAACGGCCCAGTGCAGTGATTCCACAAAGCAAAAGCTGTACTCTCACACCAAGAGCCAGCTGTTTACTTCTGTTTCCCTTCTGGTCACTGAGCAAAGGAACATTTCTGGTAAGGTGGTGGTTATGCAATCGGACTGTGACACAATGACAGGAATTTACTATTAAATTCATGTCTTCAGTTGCAAGGTCAGAGGCTTGTGACATTGCCTGCAGTACTTCCCAAAAAGGAGGCACTAAGATCCCATACTGATTGGGCTTGAATACAGCTCAGTCCAATGTGTTAGCTTAAGGAGTTTAAAGTGGCATCAGTTGATTTCAGCCACTTGGGGGCAGTGGAACAAGTGTAAACACAACACTGACATATTATCACCTTGTGATTGCTGAAGTGTTCTCAAACAGTAAGTTGCCTATTTACACATCCAGCGGACATTAAACAACATTAACATTCATTCAGAGTAATGCCTATATCCTCCTGCCAAATGTAAGTCATAAATTCTCTTTTTAGCTCTGGTTTGGTGTCCACCAATTCCTGACAAAAATATCTGGCAGATTGACTGCCATTTTTGTGCTAGACAGGAAGTCTACAGTGTTTTTATCAGTGTTTTATTGCCAAAAACTGCTGCCTGCTAAAACAAAAGGTTGATGAGAGCCTTTAGAGTGAACCACACTAACCAAAACAATAGCTGAAAGATGCTAAGATGCTGTTCATATGAAAATTAAATCTATGGAAGGTAATGTATTTCTGTTATATTGGTTAAAATTCTCTTTACATGCCGGCAGCAATCAATGAATCAAGTCCTCCGGAAAAAAAAAAAATCTGGTATCTGTACCATCCGGCCAGGCAGACATTGCTAAAGCTACCAAGGTAGTCGCACAAGAATGGCAGATAAAATGTATAGTCCCACCTGTACCTCCCACAGTTTACACTGCTAAACAAAGCAAGAAAAGAAACACAGAAGTGTGTGCTCCACACTGCATGTTCATGTGTGTTGGGGGAGTGGCTTTTGAGGGAGTCCTGAAGGGAGGGGGTAGGATTTTTTAAAATACTATCGGCATCTTGTTAGTTTCTCCAACGTTGCGTACCCTAGCTTTAATTTGTCTTATTGGTAGTTAGATGACTGATATAGCTTAGCTTGACTAGAATACTAGAATCAGGGTAAAACTGCTAGCCTCTAGCATCTATCAAAGAACTTTTAAAAAGCTCAACAGCGTGTCCTGTTTATTTAACAAGTTAATATGACACTGTGGTTGTAAGAGCATTAGCGTACAAATTGGAGCTATTACAACCGTTGGACGTCGTGACTGTATGCAGTACCTCAGACGTCCTGTGTTCATTGTGGGGTTGTAGGCTTTGCACAATGTCGTAACTGAAAACACAAAATCAAGGCATTTCTTGGACTGGATGAAACAGCAAGTATCCTGCTTGCTAACTGGTTACAATATTTACAGTAAATAAGACAAATCTGAAGCTATTTTAAGGCTTTCAAATTGGAGAAGGAAATTGGGACATATTACTCCTGACAAATGTCCACTCTCCTTTAAACTCTGCACTAGTCTCCACCAGTTCCTGAGGGAAATATCTGCCTCTTTAGCTTCTAAATTCTTCACTGTGATCACCAGCTAGTCGCTAACTGCAATTTGATGCTGGGCAGGTAGTCTACAGGAAAGAGCACTTTTGTTACCTTGTGCACCTGCAAAGGACAATGATGAGACTGAATTAAACAGTAAAGATGGACCAAATCAATGAGAAGTCAAAAGTCATTTGAGCCATTGTAATGACAGTAAACATAAATGAAAATCTAATTAGGGTGGACAGTCCGGCTTTTAAATGCCCTGTCTGGCTGCAGGCGCAGCCTTAAGCCGGACACTCATTTGTCCTCCTTTTGAGAAAATAACTAAAAATGTCGCTTTTTGACACATTACCTCGTAGGTTTAATACTTATTGGCTAAAAATGTGTGTCAAAATAAGTAATTTCATTGGTTACATTTTCGTTTGTGACCTATCAACACATGGCTAATTTTAATATTCAAATGAGCCATGTGTTGATTCCCACAACACCCAATCACCACAGTTGCTACCACCAGGCTGTCAATCAAGCTCTCAGCCACAGAGAACTAACATGAGTTAACGTTGGTTGTTGACTGAAATTCTGAAAATGCTCACACTCATATGTAGATAGGCAAAGCCTATACATATGAAACAGAAGGTGCTGCATTTTTTTTTTTACCCTTTATCTATCCAGATAAAAACATTAAGAGCAGTTTCTGTATGATGTTGATTAGACCTATGTAATCTGAATTGGAAGGCCACGTTGTCATGAGCTGTATCTTGTATATTTATTATTAGCTATGTGGTATGTGTATGCACCTTTATGTAATCTGGTGGAAAAACATTAAAATTTAAAACCGGATCATACCAAACAAATATCTGCTTGCGTGTCCCCTTGTATCCAAAGTGTCCTCCTTTTTGATGTAAAGGAAATGGCCACCCTAAACCTAATGTACATACTTGTGAAAGTCCTCGATGCAGTGGATGTGGTTGGAAGCGTCAACGGTGAAAGGGATGCCGTCCAGGCTGCGGTGGCACACCACGCAGGTGAAGCAGTGAGGGTGGTAGGCTTTCCCTGTAGCCCGCAGGATCCGCTCCATGATGGGCTTACTGCAGATGGTGCAGGTCTCAAGGGTGTTCTGTAGACACAAACACACAAACCCACAGACACCCACATGATTACACAACCAACCTGATGATGAATGTTGTGATTCTGATGATTCATTTCCAAAGGCCTTCTGAGCGCTTGTTTACAATTAGCACTTCTCTGCTAACACATTTCAACCAGCATGACAAATTTAAAAACTTTTTTCTGCCTTTCCTCCAGTTTTGAGTGTGTGATTTTTACTTCCTGCTGTCAGTGTTACACCTCAGGTGGCTCGGCTCCCATTCGTGCCAGTGCAACACATAAATCCACACTCAGGACCTTTAGCTCGGCTGTCCTCAAATGCCTCTGAAGCTGAAGGAATCTGATTAGAGCTCCTCGCGAAACACAAACACAGTCATTTTTCAGCTGCCCTCACCCACACTTCATCCTCCCATATGCAAGAGTGTGAGCAGTAAATATTTCCACTTTGTGATGACTTCAGGTTTTCTGCAGCCAGGCGACTGGGCAAGCGGCCCGCGGGGGGACGTGGCAGCCGCCTGCCTCTGACTTATCTGTGGCATCTCTCTTCTTAATATCTGCTGGGAGACGCCATTTGTTATTTCAATATTTCATAAATAACGACTGCCTCTCTAAACAGCAATGCAATTACGGGGGGATGGATATATCATGTGAGGGTGATCAATGTGCAGCCTGATGTGGCTGTGTGTGAGCTGATGGGTCCCGCTGTCACTGCCTCTCGCTCTGGCATTTCCTGGATCTCTGTGTCTCTCTCTCCTCTCCCCCTTTTTCTGCGCTTGGCTGGGCTAAAGAGTGCACGGTTCAGCTGTTCCCATTGGCTCCCACTGTAGTAGCAAGCTGCCTCAGTGTTTCCAAACACAGCTCGGGGTGTGTAGCAACACTGCGCTGCGTCATCGGCTGCCTCCCAGACACACCGCCGGGCCCTGCCGTTTAAAATGACACTTCTGTGACCGCTCGGCCGAGGTAAACTCCCAGCCATCCCCTGTCCGGCTGCGGAGCACGTGCAGTGACATTTATAGTCTATATGCTAATGAGCCAAGCAGCTTTACACGGTGAGGTTCACTGAAACTACAATGTGAAAATGTTCCTGACATGATTCCGTGAGGTGTCTGACTTTTGCTTCTCAGGGCTCCTCGCAACACGATCATGTGTCACTGGAGGGCAAGAGGGCAAGAGATGAGAGCTGCTGATGTATGACCCGAGGCTGTAAAGGGGGTGGTTTGAAGAATGGCCGTTTCTTCAAAGCACTCCTGGAGAGGCATTATTTCATGAAAAGCAATGTGTGCAGACAAGCTTCGCATTCTTATTTGCCTTTTTTCCCTCCTCCAAGACGGTAATAGAAATAAACATTATTCCCAGGGCAACATTTGTGTATAAACAATGTCCATATTGCAATCCTGCTCGATCCTGGAAGTGGAATGAAGCCTTTAATGAGCTCGCTGCACTGAGCCCTTGAGGTTTGCCTCACGCACGCACACAGAGACAGAGAGAGGTAGAGGGAGAGAGGGAGAGAGAGGGGGAGAATATATTTGCAACCTGAGAATGTGAGTAAGATACCGGGGCCAAACAGCACTAAACCATCCTCAACTCTTACTCATCTGTCTGCATTTCCACTTACTTATTCTCATCTGCCCTTCATGTGGGAATACCTTGCCCTTGTTTAGCTTAACTAGAGCATATGATTTCACAGCACACAGTTCCTCCGGGCCATTGTAATGAGTACAGTACTCAAAAGACAAAATTTCTCTCTTTCTCTCTGATGGTTAGATTCTATGACCTCAATTCATTCATTCTGCTCAGCCTCTGTTGTTTTTTTATTCACTCGTGACTCCTTTTATTTGGTATTAGGTAACATTTATTAGGCCTATTACACAAACGTGGGTCTGATGTCAAAACAGAGAATGTACATGAGTTTGGGTCTGTGTTTGGGTACAACCTCCACAGATGGTTTAAGGGAAATTCTGCATAAATCACTTCATGCCCTCTCTGTTAGACATCCAGGTCCTTTGCAGTTTGCCACTAGAGGGCTGTATATGTCTGCAGATGTCCGGGTTTTGCTTTTCCCCTGACTAAATGTGATGTATTCAAGCATATGTATTCTTCCCCCCCTCCTCTCCCTCATACATTTCTCTAAGTGTTTGCCCAGAAGGCTAAACAAATGTCTAGGCAGATGAGGTAAAGTGAATTTAGGTCAGACAGCCTCTTGCTGAACTGAGGGGTGAGCGGAGTGCGTTAAAGTCAATTGTGGCCCCTTTTCCTCATTGTAAGCCCTTTCCTTTTGCTACAAAGTGCGATTGTGACCCTGCACCGCACACACTGATGCCTGCACAGTCCTGCCCAGCTTCCCAGTATTTCGCAACAGGCTCCCAAACAACGTTTGACACAGCTGTCTGTTGGAATGAGGAGTGTGATGGCAAACAAAGCATGTAACGGGGAGTTAAGAGGGTCCCATGTGCTCCGCTCTGAACATGAGAAACACGCCTGACAGAGTGAAACAGAGAGGCAGAGACAAAAATCATCATTAAGTGTCATTTTGAGTCTTTTATCTAAAAAAATATTAATGGTGTGGGATTCTTTTAGTAAATCAGCTTGTAAATTGTAACTTTATTGGATCAAATGACACTGCCTTCATACTTGATTTAAATACGTACAGTACAACTAAATTAGAAAAATAAGTAACTAAAAAATATTTTAAAAAACCTTTAATAAACAGAGGCCCAATACTAGACTAAATGACTAGGATAAATGACATATTTTCAGTTCATTTGTAGTAATTGTCACAGTTCATTTATTAGTCTCAGAGCCTATGGTGTCACCTCCACTTTTTTTGGTTTACTTTAATATACTGTAAGGCAAGAAAAGTTGTAATTAAAATATCACAATTAATTCAGTCTATGGTTTGTACTTTTCCATGCAAACACACAGCTACAGGTAAAACACTGCTGGAACAAAGACGTAATTTCCTTGTTTGCAGATGAAACAGTAAGCAGTTGGAAATCTGCTGTGGCACACTGCTAAGCTCAAGCTGTTCACCATCTCCTCCGACCGTATCAACACAAATTTTACACCTTTCTGTTCTTTTTTTTTCGAGTGGCCGAGTCGGGCTGACAGGAGGCAGGCTGGACTTCAGTGAGACTGCACGCGATTTATGACCTGGCACACTGAACTCAGAAAGGGCCAAATTTACAGATGATCTGATTTGGTGTGTGTGTGTGTGTGTGTGTGTGTGTACGGACCTTCACAGAATGTGCCGGTCAGTGCCAGGCCATGCTGTGTGAATTAACTACACCCTACTGAAGGTAGCTCGGACAAGAGCTTGTTTGAAAGAAAGGTCTGAGTGCTGCTGCTGCTTTTGGTTCCCTCTGCAGTGAATAAGAGATACTGACTTGGTCGTGAACTATGAGTCAAATCATTGACCCTCCTACTTCCTGAGGGAAGGTGTCTGCTGACTTAATGAACCTTGACAAGCAGCCTCTCTCCCGTTTATTGCTTAATATGGGTCAATCAAGCAGGACGAAGTGAAGATTATTTTGCCAACAAGAGGCTTGTTTTTCAACTGCAAGTGCTACAAAAGAAGAGAAGCAAGAAGAAGTGGGAAATAATAGAGAGGAAGGAACAATGATTCATAGTGAGAGGATACTATAGAGAATGTTAGAATGTTACTAACTGCATGGGTCAACAGAAATAATGTCACAATATAACGCAGTCTAATGCAAACTACGGCTTTAGGGTATTAAAAAGAAGGAATTGTTTTTGGGAAATAAGTTTATTTTTGCTGAGTTAGAAGAGGAGACTCAGCTCTCACGTCTGTACCATGGATGTATTAAGGAGAACTGGATACTGTGTTCAAAAATGGCTGCTGCATTCATTCCCATGAAAGTTGCTTCCTGGGCACGTACGCAGAAAAGGCCTCCGCAGCCTACCTCACGCTTCTATGTTTTTTGGCCCATAGAGCATGCTCACTAGAGCCCTTCTGCTGGCTGACTTCCTGTTGGCTCCACACACACACAAACGGGATAAAATAATTGAATCACAAGGCTTTCCTAGACTTTCCAAATTTTATTGGACTGAATGGATCAAATTCTGATCATAAAAAGAGTCGAGTGGTTTGTAAAATTCACAGTTTACAGCCACTCCTTTTCATGACTGTCTATAAGAAGAGAGCTTTTTGGACCAGTGTGCGTCACACAATGATCCTTGAAGTTGCATTACAGAGTGTGGGCCTCACAGTCGAGTGCCTTGGTCTGTACCATTGACAGTATAATTATGTAGCCTAAATATGAAGCAAGCCCCAGCAGCTGATGAGCTTCTTGGCCAGATGTAGTGCCTTCCTGGACTCTCCGCTGGTTGCCTGGCAAACTCACAGTCATGACAAGACTCCAATATCTCACTGCGCCCCGGCTAGTCCTCCGTAAAACCACATCTTTTTTTGTACAGACTAAAGAACTGAGATATAACGTGTTAATGGATGAACTTTAGTGCTGCCAGGTGGATTTTGCAACCTTTGGACAGAGCCAAGCACGCTGTCCCCCCCTCCCCCTTCCCAGTCTTCCAGTCTTAAGGCTAAACTAAGCTAAGCGGCTGCTGGCTATGAATGTTTCACACAGACAAGAAAGTGAAAAGCAAAATATTCCTTTAAACATGGTGACAGAATAAAACTGCTGTGACAGTATCAACAATAACAAAAGCCCTTGAGCTTTATACAGGTAATATTTATTTCACTGCTATTTTGGTGTGTTGCATTTTATTTAAAGGCGTCATTTTGTCCATTCTCTAAAAATACTACAAATTCCATCTTTTCAAGTAAAACACCTGCTGCTCGCTGACCATCAAGAGGACTATTTAAGGACTGCTAAGCCCCACTTAACCTTCATTAAGATGCCTGAAATACACTAGAGATGATTAACTTATTTCCAATGTCCATCTATTTATTTACAAAATCCCATTTAATGGAGCACGTTCTTAATCAACATACTAGTGTCGAATAACTTCACACCAGAACAGAATGCAAAG